TTAAGAATTGTTCGTAATTGTAAATGAACCAACTGACTTTTCAATTAGAAAAAAATTCAATAGGGCAAACTTATATGATAAATATAGTTTTATTACCTTTCCATTTGCAATATCTATAAACACATAGAGAGATAGATCACTATAGCCATGATATCTAGTGAAAAGCTTTTATAAAATGAGTATAATTCCTCAAGTAGGACTTTCATTACTGTGTCCTGTTGGCACTGGACAAGCTCCAAGACTAAATTCAGACTCAAGTCAGGATTTATACTGACCTTCCTAAGTTGACAGATCTAAAGTTTTCTCATTCATGGTGTCCCTGAACATTTAATTTAAATTAAATTTAACAAGCAAGCAGTTTTTGAGCACATTCCATTTGGAAAGCATGATGTCAGGCCTTGCTAGAAATAGAAAGATAAAAATTAAATGGGGGGGGTCTTAGAAAAATACCATAGAAAATGTAATGTTAAAATATGAAACCATATTAATACAAAATTCTGATAATATTTTTATAATAAAGGGCTTTATTAATTGCCATAGCAAAAGATCTTTTATTTGTTTTAAAAACAAACTAGCATAGCTAAAGGAAATTGCGTTAGTTACCCAATCTTCATTTGATATAAAATATTGTGATTTGTGTGGCCTCCTTTTTGACATTTATTGACTCATTTTCCTACTCACAGTAATTGGGTGACACATTCAGCTCACCATAATGATCTGTTTATACTTTGAACAAATCCTTATTCACTACCCAAGTCAGAAAGCTATGTAAGAGTTTATATTTGTCATTAATTGCTCCATCCCTTCCACAACATTGTATTAAGGACATATGAGAATTTTTCACCTATGCTACATACCAGGATGCGAGGATGAAAAGACATAGTCTTTTCTGATCAGGGTTTGGAAACATAATCTGCCACATTAAAACGTGATAGATGCTATTCAGAATTTTACAGCATTTACAGAAAGTTTGTAGCCCAGGATTCTGTGTTCTAAGGGGGCTTAGCAATAAAAATTGCACCTACCTTGAGACCCAAGAAGAAATTAGCCAAGCAAAGATATGTAAGAATGGTCCCAAAATCAGATTCTCAAAATGGGCTATTACTAGAATGTTGGGCAGGGTGATTCTTGTTGTTATACAGCCCTAGTCCCTATCACCTAAATTCAAAACTTCCCTCAATTATGTTAATAACTCAAAATAAAACAAACAGAAATCTTCCCCTCATATTTCCGATTGTTCCCTAGAGGGAATGAACTCTACCACAGTAACCAACGATAGAAAATGCTCAAAGAGGTGTGAACATGACATATCTGGGAATCAGAAAACAATTTGCACATAATTTGTATTCCCTTAGCAATCATCAAAATCTTTAAACAATGCTGCAATGTTACATTATGCTATTGTTGTAGCAGTACTCTTTGTCTTCGAAATATTAAGAATCTCAAATGGCTTTCCTCCACTCCAGAACACTCCACTACAGTGTACTTGATTTACATTCATTCCTGGCAGTTAATAAACACTAAAAATACACAATACTCCATGCAAGAGCTTTGAAATGTTATGCACGTATAAGGGAAAATGTTCTTAGAAAATTAATAGCTTATTATCTACATGGTATTAGTTTTGATAGGCAGTATTGAACAGCATTTATAAAGGCTAATGTAAATAAAGTCGGAACAAGCTGAGAGAGGGCTATACCTCTACAAGGAGGTGTTTTTGTGAATTTGCAAAATGAGAGGTTCTCAAAAGCTTATCAATATTCCAGCAAGAACCAGAGACATAGAGATAGCAGCAACTCCATGAGGCAAGTAGGTCAACAACCAAACAAGTGTTTTGAGAATTTGGAAGAGGAAGAAATAACTTTGTGTTGTCAGAGGGGAAAGCTCCATGCCTCGGGGGTGATGGGCTGGACCTTTAATGATATACATAGATATAAAAATCATTCCTGACAGGAGTAATGCCTTCCATAGAAGTAGGCATGCCCAAGATTTCTTTGGCCGCAATGAGATCAGCATATTAGCTGGAACAGGTATATAATCAGGGGAAAGATATCAACTAGGTAGTTTTGTGCTAGAATGAGAGATGATGATTTCTTCTGCAAAAACATATAGATGGAAGTAAGATATGGACTGAAAATGGTAGCATGCACCGTATTTAACTGTAGTTAAGTAAAAGAAAGCTGAGTGTTATCACATCCAGAACTCATTAGAACAGAAAAGGATAGGACAGGTAACATTATGCAAAAACCAAAATAAGAATTTAAGAATAGAGGATTGCTTGTGGTAACCATGTTGGTGAGAGATCAGAGAGGACCTTATGGCAATATCATGGAAGAACTGTGAGTGATGACAAGTAGGATAGCCTCCTATGACATCCTCAAGAGTGGCAAACAATACAAGGAGACTCAGTTTAAAATTAACATCGGTTTTATCTAAAATTTATAGTTAAATAAATAGGCTACTGATTTGTATATGCAAGAATAAAAAGATTCTATTCAGTCACAGTCATAAATACAAAAAGGGATGAAGTGACTGTAATATTTTCATTTTAATCATCAACTTATTTTTTAAATGCCTGAGAGTGTCACTGTCATTGAGGCAATGGAGTGAGGCACAATGGCCAGCACATGGCATCTAACTGCCATTCCATAAATATACATAAACTTAATTAACGAAAACGAATGAATAAATGTAATAATTAATCTGACCAGCAATATAAAAATATCATAGAAAAGGAACTCTAAAGTGTAGTTCTACTTAATCCTTTACTGTGACGAAGCATGTTAAATTTTGTAGGAAATCTAGACTTCAATTACCAGGTAACTATCTTCTATCTTTTCATCCATTGCTTGTTAGATCATTTTTCTCCAGCTCATCGCCACATATATGTTGTGTTGGTTACATAGAGGTTATTTGAAGCAGGCAAATGACTTCTTGTCGTATTGACTTTGGTGTCAACGCCAATTCTGAGTTTGCACAGGAAGCGCTAAGAACTAATGCTCTTGATTTTCCTCTGCCAAAAAGCATTGGATATGTGGCTGCTTTTCCAGTGAGTGTGCTTAAAAGGTCCCAAATCTCATTAAAGAAGAATTAAAAAGTAGATGGTATAGAAGCAATGTTTAAATAGGCTTTTCAGTGAGGAGTTCTATGATCAAATTGGTCAAAATTAGTGATGCCTATGATATAGGATGTTCTTATAATGAGTTGTGATTTCCTAGCAATAGTTCGGTAACTCATCATTGGTCTTTACTTTCAATCTTCGTTTCCGGTACCCCTGGTTTATCTCAAATTTGTCTGAAATTTTAAATCCCATGTTAAATTTTCTTGTCTGCATAATCAACATCTAGATTGGAAAATGTTGTCCAAACTTCTAACATTTTTGTTCTGTTGCACCGTTAAAGCAGAGAGTGTATTCTCTATGTCTGCTTTCTGAGAATCCAAATCAAAGCTACCATATTTCATTCCCAAAATTGCCTGCATCTGATAGTTTAGAGAACTTCCACTTTTTTCCTCTCCATAGCCAGAAAAAAAGACAAAGGCCCTTCATTACCTCCAAACATTTATGATGCTCACTTGCCTAATCAGCCTGGTGATTTTTTTCTTCCCACCTAATTAAAACATTTGACTTCATCATTTGCTCTTGAAAATTACAGAAAAAATAAGTGGAATAGAAATTTAACAAACATCAGTAAAATAGGATTAGAAACTTTGTTTTTTTTTTTTACTACAGTTCTATACATGAGATTTAGACAAATGTAATGTTCAAAAGTAACACAGAAATAAATAGAATAGTTTTTAAAACAAGTGCTTAAAGTCATTCATCTGTAAAAGACTATAAAAATAAAGAGGCAATATAAAATTTCAAGTCCATATTTATCAAATTGACATCATGTAAACACTTATATTCCTTAAATGGTTATTAAAAATGACTAATAATATTGAACTAGCCTGGTTTCATAGTGGTTAAGTTCAGGTGTTTCAATTAAGTAGCCCAGGATTCACAGATTCAGATCCCAGGCATGGACCTGCACACCACACATCAAGCCATGCTATGGCAGCATCCCATATACAAAATAGAGGAAGATGGGCAAACAGATGTTAGCTCAGGACCAATCTTCCTCATACACACACACACACAAAATTAATAATAGAAGTATATATTAGATAATAATTATTTCCCAATACTTCAAATTTTCATCTTTTCTGTCCTTCATCTGGATATTTAGCTCAAAATTAAATCTGATGTCATGTAGAACTCTGCGGACAACCAAATACCATGTAGAAAATTGATCTGTGATTCTCTACATTTTATGGTTGAATCCAGTTTTTAATTAATTTAGGTAAGTTATAGGTATTTGTATTATGTTAAGGATTTGTACTATATTAAGACATGATACTATGAGAAAATTTGACTTCAAAAGAATTCTTGCCCTTGGCTTCTCAGGTTTCATCATAAAAGCCACTATTTATGGACGATGATTCTTTTCGGCTTCTATTTAAGCTTATCTCTTTGTCCTTGGTTTTTAAAGCAATGATTTCTTTCTGCTAGGAGCAGGAGTGTTTCGTCTGGCTTTTGACTTAGAGTATCTGAATCATGTCCTGCTTTTGTTTGCCAGCTTTGAGCTTTGATTTCTCAGAGAAGGTATGTAACATACCTGCGTGACCTTTATGTAATTAATATTTTGATTTTATTGGCTTTTTCCAACTGAACTTTCCTACAGGCTCAAGGTTCCAAATTAGATCAAGACTTAAAGATTTTACTCTTGTTCTTTTTTATTTTTATTTATGTATTTTTTTGAGGAAGATTAGCCCTGAGCTAACTACTGCCAATCCTCCTCTTTTTGCTGAGGAAGACTGGCCCTGAGTTAACATCCATGCCCTCTTCCTCCTCTTTAGATGTGGGACGCCTACCACAGCATGGATTTTGCCAAGTAATGCTATGCCCACACCCAGGATCTGAACCGGCGAACCCCGGGCCACCGAGAAGCGGAACGTGCAAACTTAACCACTGCGACACCAGGCCAGCCCATACTCTTGCTCTTGAAGAGGCAACACATTCATTAATGGACTCTTCAGATAAAATGTGAAATAACAGTGAAAAATATAGGTCCTGTCTAAGAATGGGTTAAATATTTCAGATATGTTATTTGTAAAAAAAAATGGCTTCAGATTTATGAAGCAGGTCGAAATTCAGTATTAGTGTTTTATTTGATGGAATGTAAATAGTAGAATCTTCTAAGGAACAAAGTTAAATATTCGTCTCTTGGCCTAAAATTACTTGCCTATTTTTTAAAACAAAGTTAAATATTTAGTCACATTTTAAAAGAACACAGTTTCTCAATGATAAGCAAGACGTTAAGGGGTTTAAATTTAAATGTGAGGAAGAACCACTGGTCAGAACATTTAGTTCACATATGGACAACTGTGTCAGAGCTTTAAAATGCCTCTTGACTATTAAACTTGTAATAACTTTCCTTCATTTCAAAAGATAGATTGGAAGTACTGTCGCCAGGAGAGTAGAGTACCCCAGGCTTGGGATGTTAAGTCCCAAGACAAATTTTATTTCTTACAACAAAGGGAGGGAAGCATTCATTATTTTACAACCATTTTATCTTGCTATATGTCACAAGTATGTTACTTTCTATGTTGTATTGCGTCTGTACAAGAAAAGAGGAGGAATATCTTTCAAGTTCTATCTTACTAAAATAAATCATTCATTAATTTGTGATCTGGAAAGGAAATCAGGTGTGTCCCTGATGTTTATCTTTAAAACAAGGATAATTTTGGCTTGCATAAAGTTTTCTATGCAAAATAGCTTAGCAGTGCTATATGTTTCAAGTTTCCCTAAAAAACAATTATTTAAACAAGACATTCCTTATGATACTTATATTAGGTTTTTACACTGATCTCTCCTTGGTCAGTAAAACTTGATTTACCTTGTACTATTTACTGTGGTTTGTACAACTAACCAATGTCCTAATATGCTTTTCATTTAATGCATTTTCATTTCTGAGCACTTACTATATAAAACACTCTGCTAGCTCTTGGCAGAGGTTTCCAAGAGGAAACAGATAGAAAACCTGTCTTCAAGCAGCTTATAAAATGTGCTTGGATATGAGACACATACATAAGTAACTATAAAAGAAGAGAGAAAGAGGTTAGTCATAATGCACAGATAAACTGCCATGGGAATTCAAAAGAAGGAGATTAGTGTTGGAATTTAATGTTATTCTCAGACTCTGTTCAGTGCATGTTGTGAACAGCATAAGGCAACTGCACATTTGAAATGTTACTTCACTCAGCAAGAATTAAAGGGACACGCTTAGCTTTTCATGGATTTATTTTTCCCCATTTTTGATAAAAGCTCAGAAGCTGAAGTACCAAACTCAAGGCCAGTATCAAAAAAGGAACTGAATTAATAACAATGAAGCCTAGTGCATAACTTTTACCTACTCTTTTTCTAGCTAGTAATTTAAATTAAAATAAAAAGTCCTCTAAGCCTAATTATTAGTGAAAACGTTTACCTATTTTTTATTCAGCAATCTTAAGATTTTACCAGATATTCTCATTATGGCAAAATTATTGGCTTATGAAGCATATTTACACATTCTATTTTTTTTTATGTTAAAGCAGAGGGTTTTAATTAGGGAAAACCAATGACATTAATGATCATGATAATTAAAAACTAAACCAGAGTATCCTAAAGGTCAGTACAACAAAAATTTTAAATATTTTAGAAAAGGAACCAAAGAAAATCTGTAAGCATTTGTTTCCAGGACAAATAAACTTATGCATTCATCAATTTAACAGATTTGGACAGCATTTTAGTGAAGAAATGAATGCTTCAATGAAAGAATTGAAATCCATAAACTTGGCCAAATGAGGTATAACAACCTATTCACCAGCATCTGCGTTTTCAACTTACAGAAATCTATTATCTATTTATCCATCTGTTCATCCATCATCTAGTACTTATTTGTCTGTCTTTGGGTTTGGGTCACGATTTCTTATGAAGAGAACCAGAAGCCTAACATAGTATCTACTGTGGACTCTGTGATCCACCCTTCAGGCTCTGGCCTTATCATGACTTAGGATGTTCCCATTAGACTCTTTTCTAGTTAAATGCAACTTCCATTGCATTGTTTTGTTACGGATGATATTTTTCCCTAACTTCCTTCTTCTTAGAAGGTTTGTTTTTGGTTTCTCATTTTGAACCTTACCCTTTATTGTTTTCTAAAACCTTTTTCTTATATTCAGGTTCCTCATCCTGTTACTTGGGTTTTTCTTCTGGCCAAAGCATACATTAAATATAATATATTGATTTTGATAATAAAATTGTGCTCTCACACCTACATTTTTCTAGCTTTCTTAAATCTTCAGGATATTTACTCCAACAACAGGTGAATTATCTTGGTCATAAAACTGCAGTATCATTTTGGTCTTTTCCTGGTGGCATGAGCATTGAACTACGGAGGCTGTATTTGTCTCCTTAGTGTATTGGCCATTGATCAGAGCAGCTGAAAGTCTAAACACAAGAGAAACATAAGTCTCCCTCCTCCACAGCCCCCTCAGTCCCTTGCTATTTTCCTCTCCTTTTTTCGCTGTCCATCTCCCCCCATCCCTCCTGAATCTGCTCTAAGTGTACTTACAAAGAGAAACAAATATTTAATTGCTTATTTTTCCAGTATGACACCCGTAAAAATTATAACTTATTTTTTCATTGTTATAATCAGTTGTTTTGACATTCTTGGAAAAAGGGTACCTTGGACCTATGTTTTAAAACAAATCTTTAATGAACATCAGAGTTCCAGGCACATGGATTCATATATGTGAAAGTAGGGACGGTGTCCATTAATGTTTTTATCAAGAAAACAAATCTTCATTTGTTGAGAGAACACTTTTCTGTTCTCTTCACATCATGAGCTTACCTTTTCCCTATAGACACACTGTAAAGAGTCAACTTCCCTTGGTACCTTGACTGTCTAAGGCGTTTGGTAAACATGGATGCTTTCTTTGTCCAATGTGATTATTCCCCTGATGTCTCCTTGTCAATGTACCAACAGTCTAGAGGTCTAGAACCAAGGGTAAGAAATAATTATTTAAAAGATAAAAAAGAAAAGGTGAAGAAAATGTTGAACATATGTGTGAAAAAGCATGTAGAAACCTATTGATTAAATTTGGGAAATAATACGTAGGCATTTACTTTGTATTTTGTAAACTCTTGTTAAATACCTATTTAGTACACAGTATATTGTATTTCAAAATGTTAATTCATTTAATCCTTTGAAAACACTACATCACACAGGAGCAAATTGAGACAAGGAAAAGTACCTTACCCAAGGCTATAAAGCTAAATAAGTACTAGAGCTAACGTTCAAACCCAGGCTATCTTGCTCCAGAATCTACACTCTTAAAATCTATAGTTATCTACACGTGCATAGCTCTTTACTGTTTAAAAACAGGGTATGTGACTTTGGCTTCCTGAGAGGTGAGTTCACATGTGTAAAGGGCCTCAATGTGCATCAGCACTAACTTGAGTTTACTATAGACAAAAAGGAGAAAACAATAGTAGAAAGCATAGCCCAAATTTTGTCTCCTTTGGCTGGTGGGCATAGATTTCCCATATTGTTTCTACTAGAGAAGGCAGTCATTCTAGAGGTGCTAAGGGTGCCATTCAACAAAGAAAAATAAAGCAATAGTCACCTAAGAATAAAGCTGTGTAAATGTAGGCCAAGGAAGCAATGAAAGCCAAGACCTTACTCTTGAAAGAGAAGGATAAAAAATGAGACAGAGACAGTCAGGCTGGTGCAAACTTTTAGAGAAAAAATGAATATGATCAGAGCTTGCGTTCACATGAGAATAATAAATGCAGGTCTATCACCCTCAATTTATAAAATTCTCATGAAATGACGGGCATAATATGGAGGCAGAAAGAATTATAGAGAGAATGGTTGGTGTTACAGTCATCCAAAGAATATTCAGGGGCCAACGATGAATAAAAATAACACTAAAAAGACATAGGGAAAGAAATTGAGCAATACGTGAACAAATTTTGTTTAGGTCAGAGTTTGAAGAGTTTAAGAATGATCTGATGCTATAAGGCAGCTGATTAATAAGGCGGTACTTGTGAGAGACAATTCTCTATGGGTCTCTCCAGTTTCTGTACATCTTGTGAGCAAAGGCACTGATGCTTCTGTTCTGAACTTTTTTACAAGGATGTTAGTATTGCAAATGGCTTTGGAAAGGAGATGTTACTGCCCCTGGGAAGAAAAGCCGAAAAGAAAAGAAAAAAAAAAAAAAAGAAAAAGAAAGAAAGGAAAGGAAAAAAGCCTCTCTTTTGCTCCAGCTACTTGCCACAAGCTGCCTCTGCCTACTACCCAGCTTCCAATATTCCTCTTGCAAGTTGGCTGGGAGAAACCAGTTCACGACTTTGACAGAAAGCCTGTTTGAGAAAGGAGACAGCACTAGGGAAGGAGAGGGGAGAGAAGGAGAAGGAGAAATTAGATCCTAAAGTACATGGTTTCAATCCCTATACTCAGTGTAGTTATATTCATCTTACTCTTGAAATCCTAGACTATGAAAGCTAAGAAATTCTATTTTCTTAAGCTTGTTTGAGTCAAGTTTTCAATCATTTGCTATACAAAGTATTCCTAACTGTACTCGTGACAAACCAGCCTGATAACTTGGCACCATATCTGCCTTATTTTTTCCATTGTTCTGAACTCTTCTACCATGGTAGGCAGAAGAATGGCACCCAACAATGGCCACATCCTAATGCCTGGAACCTGCAAGTTTGTTATATGAAAAAAGAGAATTTTGGGGCTGCTAATCAGCTGGCCTTTAAACAAGGAGATTATCCTGGATTATTTTAGTGGGCCCAATGTAATCACAGTGGTCCTGAAAAGTGGAAGAGGGAGAGAGAGGAGGTTAGAAAATTGCCGTGTGAGAAGGACTCAAGCCACCATTGCTGGCTTTGAAGACGGAAGAAGGAACTACAAGTATAAGGAATGCAGGCAGCCTCTGGAGGCTGGAAAAGGCAAGGAAACGGATTCTTGGCTAGGGTCTTCAGAAAGGTACATTACCTGGCTGACATCTTGATTTTAGTCCAATGAGACTCATGTTGGATTCTTTCCTATAGAATTGTAAAATAATAAATCTGTATTTTTTAAGCTGTGAAGTTTCTGCAAATTTATAGAAAACTAACACACCCACCCAGATTCAGTCTTTGCGGCCATGAATCTATTTGAAGGAGCTTCATCTTGGCACTGCTGACAATACTGATTATGGGATGACAGTTTCCATGGTACAGTGACTTAGAGACTGTGATTCAGAAAAGATGAGCTCCTTTGCAGCTTTTCATACTTTGTCATTGGGCTCCAAAATAATTGATTAAATCTTCAGTCTCTCAATGATGCTTATAGACACCAAATTAGTTTTAGTATCTATCTCTGGTTGCCCTAAACTATTTCTTTTCCTCTGTATGCATACCTGATTGAGCTGAAAGGAACCCATGAGCCCATGCTATTCCCGCTAAAACAACAGAAAATTCCCTCTTACATCTAGAGAAACCAGATATTTGTGTTGACAAGAAACTCTAGAGTGAATATGCCTGAATTATCATACAGAAGTGTCACTATGTTTTAACCATATGAAATAACAGCAAATGTAAAACTTAGAACACAACTATCTGTCATTATTCAAAAACACATCAGGAGTACAGAATCTTTCATATTCTCAACAAACCATAGTTAAGATGTTTCTCTTAATAGGTAATGAAGTATCAAATAATAATTGACTTGCTTACATTCTATGCAAGTAAGTGCATCTGGAAAGGAATTCCAGGCTGGTTTTAGACTATATTTCTCTATTTACCAGTTATGAAATATCTGAGAATCCTTCCTGAATATTCCCCTCTGTGAGTTGCAGGAAGATTTTGAGAACTAAATCTCTTTTCAGATTTGGAAGAAAACTAGATCCCTGGAATTAAAACGTGGACACGTAAAATTGCATACTACCAGTATATAATTTGATAAATTAATATCTATATTTCACTTTCTTGAATTGAGAAAATTATATATTTTAAAATTTAATTTCAAAGGAAGGCTATGAAATATTCAAGCTGCAACTATCTCAAGTGAAACACTCATAATTTGTGGTTGATAAGAAGAAATGAAGTCTTAAACACCCACATTCAGATGGAGAGATATTTTTGTGATGTTATGTTAAAAGATAAATGGAATTGGGGCTGGCCCAGTGGCGTAATGGTTAAGCTCATGGGCCCTGCTTCAGCGGCTTGGTGTTTGTAGGTTTGGACCCCAGGCATGGACCTACCCACCACTTATCAAGCCATGCTGTGGTGGTGACCCACATAAAATAGAGGAAAATTTGCACAGATGTTAGCTCAGGGCCACTCTTTCTCACCGAAAAAAAAAAAGAGAGAGAGAGAGAGAAAAAGATAAATGGAATTGATTTAGACCAGATTAGAACTGGGAATTCCCTATTTGATATGGTAATTCAGTCTACCCACTGTGGATCAAAGACATTTGTAAAAGATATGTGTTCACAGATTTAATAAACAACTCTCTTAAATCTTGAGTTAAGAAATGCCTTTAATGAGAAAATTTGTAACATGTTATTATGATAAAGTTCAAGTAAGTCAAAGAATTGCATGATAGAAAAAATTACATACACTTAAGTAAAGCAAATGTACGTGTTAGGCAAATCAATACACATAGATAAAATACAGAGATTTGAGAAAGGCTATACATTATCATCTTAGGAGCTTATAAACATTTTTTTATAACATTGCATTTTCTGAAACCCAAATGGCCTTAGTTTTAAAAGATAAGTACTTCAATCCAAATATTTAAAGATCCATATTTGATAACTATGTAATGATTTAAATTAAAAATTTTTCTTGAATTGCGAGGTACCCCAATTTTCCCCTTTTTGTCTGTAACCTTAAGCCTTAAACATCCTTCGGATGACTTCTTTTACTGAAAACTCTCAACAAGTTTCATCTTATTTCTAATTTAGTCAAAGAATTACTATGTTGATATTGGAATTAGATTATCAATCCCAGCATAATCAAAATGACACATTTAACCACCTACTAGAACAAGGAGAGTAGATGGAAGAGAAAACATTCATACCTTCTGGCCAAAGAACTGGATTCTATACCTTGGAGGGAAACAGTCATTTCAGTCTCCACGTTAATTCAATCTACAAGCACACAGAATGAAACTATGGTGCTTTATTTCATTCTGTCTTTAACAGAGTTTGAACTGAAAAACTGGAGCAGAGATGGCCACTTATTCATAAATGCAGTGTAATTCTTGCCCAAAGCAGTTTTCAGAAGGATAATTTTTAAAATTATTTTAGCACCCATCTATATGACAAAGGTATTTTGGCTTGTGAAGAATGACTATAGCTTCTATTCTGGTAAGATTTCTTAAAAGATGAAAATCAGCATCATCCTTACAGGAAATAATTCCTAATCTTCTCTGTTCTATTTGAAGAACAGTTGCAAATCATTTTAAAGTCATTGCTCCCAATGGTGAATTCTCACACTTTCTTAGGCTTTTCATTTTATAGAATTTGAAAGATCAATGAGATAATTTCATTGAGAATAAAAATGTGAGCACCTTGAACTTGGGAAGGAGCAAATGACACCATAACACATTGATATTTTCCATTTGATAGCAGTTGGCACGGTGGTTAAAATTAAAAGAAAAAAACGAGAGAGAAAGACAGGAGATTGGGGGTTACATACAGATAGGGCATAAACAACTCCATATGTGCTCAATCCTTTCATCTGAGTGCAATAATAATTTTAGTAAACTGCTAAAAACACTACTAGAAATGAGTGTCCACATAACATACCTAGAAAGGTCAGAGAGCATGAAGGAAAGATCATTTATTATAGATGCAGACAAACTCGGATTCAGTTGCCCACTCTGCCACTTGTCAGCTCTATGACTTAAGGCCCTTTCTTAACCTCAGTCTTGCCATCTGAAGAGTGAGGCTAATAACATTTACTTTACAGTGTTCTTGTGAAGATTCTATGCAGTCACAGGTCACAGATTATGGGTGTGAAGCCTACAGAGGTTGCTGTGACGATAGGAGAACCCCGGGATTAGAAGCTAGAATATCCAGCTTCCAATCTTAGTTAAAATACATACTAGTTGTGTGACTTGTGATGCAAATTCTCTAAACTTCAGTAAATCTACCTTACAATTCAGATAATTATATCTGTCCTACCTTCCTCATATCTCTATTTTCAAATCAAGTGGGATAAGTAATAAATTTATAAATTGGAAAAAAGAAAAGGTTATTTTTATGATACTATTAATCATGGCAGAAAAGCGATTTTGAAAGTTCCCTATATTTTCCAAGGATCCACCAAACTCTTTTAGGAGAAAAACTGCATGGAAAATAAAATCACTTTGTATTTGCATTCTGTTCTTTATTTTTTACAAAACGTTTAATATTTGTGTTTACTGAGATGAATTATCTTCACTTGTATCAGCTAACTTCATAACAGAGAGATTAAAGTAAGAGTGCTTATGTAATATTTGTCTTGAAATCTTACATTCTGTGTTAAAAGTCATTTTATCCCGTTTAAAAAGAGGGATTTTAGTAATAATAGCATTTTCCACTGAGAAAGAAATCAGGTTTTAAAAATAATAATCTTATTGCCCAAAAACCTTATCGTCTCATAGTGAAGCCTCACACATTTACACTTTGGATTTTGGGCAAAGTAGTCCATTCTGCTTTCCATATTAACTGCAAAACACAAATATAATCCTTTATTAGGAGGTATCATAATTCATAGATGCTTTTCAACAATTAAGTTATTCCTAATCTGACTCTTTAAACAAATATGTAAAGAAAAATAGTCATTATTCCACAGGATTACAGGGGAACTTCAGAAGGTATGTTAGGATTCGTGGGTTCTTGAACATAATCCAAGTTCCTTGACATTGAGCCAAGAGCTAAAAATCCTATTTTTAAAAATTTCTATGAGGTGATGATGCATTTAGACTTATTTTGGGAATGTTTAAAATACACGGAAAAGAATGACATGCTGTCCAGTAGATATTCTTTTCTCTGGCAGGAGGGAGATCTCTTTGAAATATAGGTGTCACCAAAAGAAAACCAAATATTCAAAAAAGCTGCTGATGTTAAACAAGTTTTGCTAATTTCGCTTTACAAGAAAATCAATGTGGTTAATGCTTGTGCTACCGTTTGTCGATGTGGAATGGATCTTGAAACAGGTGGAATAATCGTTCATGCACACATCTGCTCACCCCACACGTTGAACACCTACTATGTATCAGTTAGTTTCTAGTCCCTGGGGTTACATAAGGAAAGAAAACGTATAATGGTACTTCTCTCATGAATATTACATTCTAGACATAAGGGGAAATAAATGAAATATATATTTATGTTAGATAGTGATATATCCTATAGAGAAAAATAACAAGAAGTAAAGGAGATGGGGGAGCTGGTTTGGGACTAGAGGAGCTGGCAGTCCAAAAGTAAATTACTTTTAACCTTGAAGCAGAATTTGAAATACACACCAAACAAAGCCACTATCTGGAGAAGAAAGAATACAAAACCATGTATTATATAACCTGATCACAAAGTCTGAATTTGTAAATAAACTGGTTGTTGAGAAGTCCTCACAAACAACCATTATAACATGAAAAACAGCAGAAGTTATGTGTTGAAAATTTATTGAAAATCCAAGTACTGCATTAAACACTTTACAAATGTTATTATTTTGTTGTTATAAGACACTTTTCAGTTTATGTTTCCACGTTAGAGATTGTGGTCGATTCAATACGGCTGTGTGTTATGGGCAGCTCCTGCCGTAAAGATGTGGAATCCATTTCACCTCACCTTGAATCTGGTCCAGCCATGTGAGTTGCTTCTATCAATAGAAACTGGCAGAAGTTACATCAAGTGAGTTCCAGAGCTTGGACCTCAACAGGACTGCAGCTTCTGCCTTTGCATTTGGGGATGCTGCCCTGAGATTGTCATGCAGTGAGGAAGCTTGCAATGAAAGACCACTTGCAGAAAGATTTCTGACAATTCAGTTGTCTCCACTGATCTCAGGCTCAGGGGAACAAGCAGCACCTGAGCAAACTCAAATTAAGATTGGCAGAAAAACTCCCAGGTAACCGCACAGTCCAGAGATATAGTAAATTTGGGCTGTTTGAAGACTCTAAGCTTTGGAGCAGTTTGTTATGCTGCAACAGATAGATAACTATGGAACAGATGGAGGAACGGAAGGTGATAGTGTTTAGAGGTTCCACAGAAGATAAGGACAGAGCCACAGGGTTGCAAGTCAAGTCTCTCAGACTATGGCCACTATACTTCGTAGCATTGCTTTCCTATTTTTCCTGAAAATCCATTTCTTTATATGAAAAAATGATGTTAAGAAAGATAATCCCTAAATTTCTTCCAAGCTCAAAATTTCTATGATTTTGTAAAGCCATGAGCATTTAGGTACATTCCCTGGTGAAGCGTCTTCTAGATAATCACATCATCCTAGCAATTCCCAGGATTAACGTTCTTACATCACTAGATTCAAATTCCACTTGAATCACTAATGCTTAGCTATCTAACCTAGAACAAATTACTCTGTATTTACTTCCAAATATGCAAAAAAGGGAATTACAATAGCCACCTGGTAGAGTTGTGAGGAAGAGGTGAAGTAAGGGAAATAAAACCCCATCAGTACAGGGAGTAGTCCACGTACAGAATTACATACAGTGCAGCCTAGTACAGAAGGCGTGTATATCTGTGTGATACATCTATGTGCCATGTACATATATATTCACAACATCTGTGATCACAGATGGCCTCAATCTTTTGACAGTTCTCCCATTGAGAATCAAGATGCATGCTTCCTCCCCTTGAATCTCTTGGAGTTCTGAGTCACCAGGGAAGAAGTCCAACTTTTGAGATTGTCAGGCTGTGAGGGAGGCCAAGGTAGCCACAGGAAGAGGTCATGTAGAGAGAGAGATGACCAACTTCCCCCTTAGTCCAGGCATCTCAGGCTAAGTGAAAGAAGGTCGAAGAAGCTTTCTGATGACTCCAGCCTCAGTTGCCATCTGACTGCATCTATATTAGGGACCCCAAATGACGACCGAATAGTTCTGCCCATCCCTCCCTCAAATCATGAAAGATAATATATTGCTGTTTTAACTCATTAAGTTTTGTGGGAGTTTATGATGTAGAAATAGATAAGCAGAACATACGTGGCTGTAATTATTAGAAAGACAACATTTTAGAAATTTCTGTCTGTTGGAAACGTCATGGCTGCTTAGAACAGATTCTGTCTCTGTCTCTCTGTCTCTGTCTCTCTGTCCGTCTCTCTTTCCACACACACACAAACACACATATACACACACATACACGCACACACTGACCTCTATATACATATCTAAGTTAATTCACACATATCCACACACACATAAAAATAGCATTATTTTCAGATTGTCCAATAGAATGTGCATCTAAAGTGAAAAGTGCATTGTAAAATGAAAGATAAAATATACCAAAAATGACAGCAAATACAAATTTTATTGACTATCAAACTCGACTGTGAAATTACCAGCAATCATAAATCAAAAAGGAAAAATAAAATACTATGTAATTTTTCTCGTTATTGAAATGACAGAAATCTTGACTACTCAAGATACGTATCATTTTTCTTAAAACAAAGGGAAATTCTGTTTTAATGGTGCATTTTATACATGCCATTATGTAATATAAAAAAAGAGTCTCTGACATTAATAACTACTCACAATTAGTTTTTACATTAAATCCAAAGCCAATAGAGAAAACAATATTAAGTTTACATTCATAAGTAAAATTTACAAATAGAAAACTTTGGACATTTTTTTCAAAGCATATAAAAAGGAATAATTTCCTTAATATTAGAAAGGTTCTTATAAATTCCTTAGAAAATGAGATACTTATATGGAACTGGCAGTTTATTGAAAAAATAAATCAAATGATTTTGAAATATATGACAATATGCTTAATTTACTAGCTATTAGTGAATGTAAATTAAAATAAAAATGACACAGTGTTAGGGGCAGGTGCAGTGGCGTAGTGGTTAAGTCTATGTGCTCCTGTGGCCCAGGGTTTGCAGGTTCGGATCCCAAGCACAGACCTAGCATGGCTCATCAAGCCATGCTGTGGCAGCATCCCACATAAAATAGAGGAAGATTGGCACAGATGTTAGCTCAGCAGCAATCTTCCTCAAGTAAAAATGAAGAAGATTGGCAACAGATCTTATAACTCAGGGCCAATCTCCCTCACCAAAAAAATAAATAAAAAGAGAATGTTTTCAAATCTCCAGCAAAGATAAAACAGATTTGATGACATACCACATGGTGGAGGAAGTAGAGGTACAGTCCCTTTCATATCATTGTTGCTGCCAGTCTTCACGGCTCATTGGAGGGCAATTCTACAATAACTCTCCAGGCTTTCCACATCTAGGTCTCCATCCTACATAAATGTTTGCACACATCTCCAAATATTTCTATAAAGATGGTCATTAACTAATTGTAATTAATAAAATATTTAGTCTAAAATTTATAGTCCTTTAATTATGATTGGAAAAATAAATATTGGCTTATCCAAACATTGAAATTCTCTGCAGTGTTCAATACGACACAAATATACTCTCAAATATGGAGAGAATTCTAATATTTATTTTTAGGTGCATAAAGAAAAGTACAAATCAGTACACTTTTTATTTTCTCATTTGTATAAAAAAGGAGAATGTGTGGGTGTGTGCATATGCACATACATGTGCAGGCATATGCATGTGCATGAAATACTTTTGGAAAGATTCATAAGAAACTATCAACAAAATTATATCTTGGAAGTATAATATGGAAATAAGAATGGGAAGTTGACTCATTTTTATATAACTATTTTTTTACTATTTGAACTTTTTTTACATTGTGCCATTATTTTCACACTAAAATTAGTGGGGTAGAAGGAAGCTAACCTATTTCCCAATGGCTTCCAATTGACTTTCAAGAAACTAACTAATGTGATCCAAGAGTATAATATTTATATGGCTGACAGTTATGTGGTTTACAGCAGTGGTTTTAAATTACACTCCAGAGAACTCTAGAATTCTCCAGAGTTTACCTGGTGTCACTGTGGAGGCTGATGGGGAGGCAAAGTGGTCAAAATTCGGCTGGTTGTGGCTCACTCTCACCAGCTTCAATCAAATCATTCCACTTTTATCTGCTTTATACATTGAGCTACACAAAATACTTTGCTTGAATGAAAAAATTCCACTGTTAAAAAAATTTGAAAATACCTGACACATAGGAATAGATTAATAACATACCCTCTAGCTGTCAACTGTAATACGTCAGACAGTTGGATATTTCGATTTTAATCTAAATCATTTCATAATAATTGAAGGACTCTTTATAGTATGTGGTAATTGCCTATATTTATAAGTAAAGCCTCCTCTTCATCCTTTATATGAATGTATTTTGACTATGGAACAATACCTAGGAAAGGCATTGGCAATTTACGAGCCAAATTTCCAAGCAGAAAAAAAATAAGCAAAACACCCCCAAATGCTTTCTATTTAATTCTGTAAGGTTTCCTGGGTTTTAATAATAGGAGCGATTTCACATTAGCCTTAAGAAATGTGTCATATTTATTGAAGAACCAATTGTCAGAATCCATAACTTTATAGAACATAATTTAATACTTTCTTTAATAAGAAGAGGTTTCAGATTTCAAGTTATGGCTTAGTTTCTAACATCCATGCTTAGCTCATTAAATTTCTTTACTAACTACAACTGAATACATCTTCTGTCTCACTTCACTTCTGCCTATTATTTTAAATACATTTGGCTCTGATATTTTATCACAGAATGAACAATATTGGCTTTTATGTGTCAGAGCCTATGTCTGCTTCCCCTTAATTATCAGAAAAAGAGTGCACTGTGCAACAGAGAGCTGTCGCTGACACTTGTCTCTTCCTATCTTCTCTAACTTGAGAAGGCACATTTTCTCCTGATGCTCTTGATAGATACAACTTCTCAAATACCAGTTGCTCCTGCCAGGCATAATTCCTATAAATTGTGATTTCTTCCCCACATGTTTAATCTCTATTTTGGTCAGCATTCTCTACTGAATTCTGCTTTGGATTCCACACAGATTTCTAATAACTCATAGGAACTGAGCCTTTTCCAATAACTGATCTTCACTTCTGGACTTAATTTTCATCACCGTTATTCTCTCTCTGACCCCTTTTCACTCATTGCCCCTCCATGTATTTTCTGTAGATTTTCTATCTCTAGGCTAATTGATGGTTTCATTTGTTCTATGTTTCTTTGAAATCCAAGATTTGATGGATTCTCTTGACTCTACATCTCCATGGAAAGGGTGTCATAGAAATTTCAAACAAAATTATAAAGAGCTTTTGAGACTCTGTTGGGTTAACAATAAGAAGAAATGGTTTCAATCCTGATTGCTATTCTACAATTAAAATCACAGAAGATCTATCAGAAAATGACTAGTTATTAGTGGCGAACTTAAAAAGTTATCAAGTCCTAGCCCCAGAAACCACACTTTTAGGTAAAATTAAAATAAAGAAATGAGAGGGAGTTTTCTCCACCACAACTATGGTACACCTGATTTTTCCAGGAATATCAACCTGTTCCTAGTCTACTAACATATTGAGTAGAGCAATGACAAGTATTTTGTGAGATTGTATTAAACTTTAATGTCTTCCTCATCATTTGGAGCTGAGCCACTGGAAATTTGCAAACCATAGTGTTTTTTTGCGGAAAAAATCTGACATCATCAGAGACAACCGGTTCCTTCTCTGAATGATAAATATGGGAGATCATTTAACTGGATTATGAAAGAAGGCAACAAAAAATAATGATTGCATTCCTTTCTTATAGTTGGGTTAATATAATTGCATATGAAAATCTGAACAATATAGTGAAGAACGGTATGAAGGAGAAATGAACACCTGATGATGAATCAATCTTTTTTGGAGTCAAAAGCTGACATTTCAGTTTCCCTGAGGAAGAGTTTAGAGCAAATGAATGGGGTGAGGAGAGACGAAGAGATGACAGCAAGCTGTCTGAGAATAGGGAAGGAGAAGCGAAGAGCTGTCAGTTGCGATGGGAACATAAAGGACGACGTATACAGTACTCCAGCAAACCACCTGTGCTCCTACTACTTTAGACAAGCCAACAAACTTACTAGTTTTTCCTTTTAAAAGATAACTTATCCTTGGAATCAAATATTTTTGCTTAATTCTAAATCATCTCTCTTACAGTCAGTTTTACCATCTAATCTTTGCAATTGCTAATTTGCAACAATGGCACTCCTCTGAGACATGAAAACGTGGTTAATAAAATAAAACACAAATGGTATGATAAGGAAGACCGTTATGACTGCAGTTAAAAATAGAAATATGAGATGTCATTACAGAGTCTACAAAATCCTTACATATCTCCTATTAAACGAGATTTTCCCAATGTCTGCAATCCTAGAGTGACAATTTTGACACTCTGGAAACTTGCCTTATTTTTCTTATCTTCCTGAGAGGAGCATCAAGATACCTACAAAAGCTTCTTAAATATTGAACTCTAATTTTCAGCCACTCCCATTCATATCATCAAGTCAACACTGGAAACAACATTAAAGTCCTATCTTTGAAGTCCTGGGAGAAATTTTAAATACTAAAAAGTACCATCTTTGTGAAAAATTTTAAAAATAAATATCCAGAAAATACTTTGATAATATCTTGCAAAACGTTGGATAAATTATAAATCCTAATATAGAAGTCAAATTTAAAATATTGTTATTTTAATAACATTTTAATTTTAGAATATTTTTAGAGTCACAGAAAAATTGGGGCCAGATTACAGGGAGTTGCCATACACCCTGCACCCATTTTCCCCTATTATTAACATTTTATTTCATTATGGTGCATTTGTCACAACTAATAAACTGACATGTATACATTATTTTAAACTAAAGTTCATGCTTCGTTCAGATTTTCTTAGTTGATACCTAATGTCCTTTTTCTCTTTTACTGTTTCAGCATGCCGTCCAGAATACCACGTTATATCTGGTTGTCATGTCTCTTTAGTCTCCTTTTAGATGTGACAGTTTCTCAAACTCTCTTTGTTTTTGATGACCTTGAGAGTTCTAAGGAACTCTGGTCAAGTATTTTGTAGATTTTTCCTCAAACGGGATTTAAATTTTTTTTTCCCATGGTTCAATTAGGGTTATTGGTTTTTGGGAAGCAGACAACAGAGGTAAACTATCATTTTCATATCAGGGGTACATACTATTGACACGACTTATTGTTGATGTTGACCTTGACCACTGGCTGAGGTTCACGTTTATACATTGTACTTTACTCCTTTCCCCCTTCCATACAGTACTCTTTGGGAGGAAATCACTATGTACAGCCCACACTTAAGAAGTAGGGAGTTAGGTTTCCCCTCTTGAGG